GAATGTTTTCATCTCCCTTTTTAAACCTCTCCTGCAGCCTGGGAGCTTATTATTTAATGCCTTAATTACCAGGTAAACAGCTGGGATAGAACAGGAAATTCATTAGAAAAGGGCTGTTGTGAAGGAGAACTCGCTATTTAAAGGTTGTCCAGTGGTGGTTCCTTGAGCTGCCCTGTGATTAAATTCAGTGTATTATGGTCAGATGAGTAAATATCCGTGTTCTGCAGACGTGGAACTGAGAGCCCTGCCAGGAATTGTGGAAGGGAGCCCCGGGTTATTCCCAATCCAGGATCATCAGTTCTCTTTTCACTTCTTTTTACGTTTTCTGCCCAATTTCCTCCCTGAGATTTTTCCGTCAGTGGATGGCAAATATTCCAATAAAGGAGATAAGAATCAGGCACCTCTTTGTGGTTCAGCTGAAGCTACAAAAAGCAGGGAATGCCACAAATATCACTTGGGAAGTCTTCCCTCCTGTCCTGGTGTGTTCCCAGCGGTTTTGACCGCACAGGGAACAGCGTGGACAGAGCTTCCCTGGAGATACCCCGGAATACTGAGACATAAAATTAGTTCAGCCTGCAAAAGGACTCCTTCCAAGGCAGCCCAGGCAGGGAGGGATCAGATATCTCCTAAGCCTTGGTGTCATTAATAGTCCAAAGGTCTCCCAACCTGGATCTTGTGTAACCCCGGGATTCCTCCGGTGAGGTTCCTGTGCCGGCCTTTCCCGCAGCACCTGCAGGGAGGAAAACGCACCCCTGTCAGCACAGAGAGGCTGGATTGGGGATTTGGGATTAGCTGCACTGTGACCCCGTTCCCAGGGGCCAGGGGAGAGAAGATCCCGAGCCTTGGGAAGGGGGAGTGCCAGGGAAGGTTGTTGGTGGTGTCCAAGTGCCCCTTCCAGCCACAGCTTCTTGCTGGGAAACGATTCCCCAGGGAAACCTGGGAGTGTGGCAGAACACACCAGGGGACCCTGACGTGCCTCTGGCTTTTAGGAATCAAATATTTAGGAATCCAAGAGTTGCTAATTCACGGGAAAATTCCCCCTTGGCCCGAAACGTTGTCTCGTGCTCTGTGAAAACTGAAGCTCTTTGTTACTCCCAGAAAACAGTGGGATTTCAGGATGCTCGTGGATTTTAATTTACTCACTTGAAGCCCTATTTTTTTTCATCCATTCCATAATCCATCCACTGCCTGCTGTTCAGAAAAAAAAAAAAAAATATCCAGGAATACTATCAGATTGTCCCAGCAGATAAACCCAGTGGTTTAAATTAATTCCAGCCCATGTAACCTGTGATCTGTGGCTGTCACAGCTCTTGGCTTTTCCCATCCTGCGGAGAAATCCTTCCCCAGGGGCTGCAACTTAATCCATGGCCTTTCTGCCAGAGCTGCAGGAGATTTTGGGGAGGCTGAGCCAGGAGGTGGCAGTGGAGCTCATCCAGCCGGGAGGGGATGAGGAGGCTCTGACGGGATCCGTGTCGGAATCTGCGTAGAGAGAACATTTCCAGTGTACGGCTTGTTCCTAATTAATCCTGCTAATTACAGACCCCCAGGATGGTTTGGGTGGGAAGGGACCTTAAAGCCCTTCCAGTGCCACCCCCAGGGATATCTCCCACTAGCCCAGGTTGTTCCAGCCTGGCCTTGGACACTCCCAGGGATGGGGCAGCCACAACTCCTCTGGGAAATCCATCCCAGCCCCTCCTCACCCTCAGAGGGAAGAATTTCTTCCCAATCCCTCAAATTTGCACGTTGTTTAAGTTGTATTTCCCCCAGAGTGCTGCAGTTGTGTCTCTTCCCTTGGCTCCTGCTCGTTGAGGGCTGAGCTCTTTCCTGGGTGGCTCAGGGACACGGGACAGACCCCCAGGAGTTTGTTCCTGAGTCCTTCCCGAAATTTCTCAGCAGCTCGAGATTTGTCACCTGCCAGTGCCTGCAGGAGCCACTGTGTGCTGGTGGCACTTCTGGGGGGTGACACAGCAGGAGGAGGATTTCCAGGCAGCCAGAGATGGAATTTATTCCATGGGGAGGGAGAGGATTTCCAGCTGCAGGAGGGAAACGAAAGGGCTGCAGCTCCTGAGAGCAGCACCTTGCTGGGAGAGCAGGGGGCTGGAGGGTGTGCAGATGGGCTGGGAGTTCAAAATTAAGATTAGAATCCATCTTGTTGCCTGTTTCCCGATTTCTATGTGTTTATTGTAGGGCAGGGAGTGACAGGACAAGGGGGAATGGCCTCCCACTGCTATCCCAGAGGGCTGGGATAGATGGGAGAATGGGGAGAAATTGAGTTTTACCCCAGAACTCCCCCAAAATATGTCTGTCTGACACAGGCCGAGTTCCTGGGGCTGCTGAGCTGGTGTTGTCCAACCCTTGGGATTCTTTGGGATGGAAAAGAACCGAGGGAGGGACAGGCAGAGGCAGCGACGTGGCCCTGGGGCTGCTCTGGGCTGATGCAATTCCCCTCCGTGGTGAAAAACCAGGACAAACTTGGACAGAAACATGGAGCACGAGGGTGTTCCACCCATTGTGGGGAATCCATGTGAATCCATGTGTTGGGAAGAGGTTGCCTTGGCTATTCAGGGGCTGCCAGGACTGTCAGCCCAGGGCACTGTCCTCGCCTGCTCCCCGGGGTTTTCCAGCAGTGGAAAATCACTGGGATACAGGATCCCCCCCTGCCAAAGTCCTCCGGCTGGGATGTTTCTGGAATGATCTTTGCCCCTCTGCCTTGCAGTGGGAAGGAGGCAGAATTTGCCCTTTGGAGTCTCCCGCTTGTCCCCACGGCCAGAGGGGCAAAATGCCAGAGGAGGGACAGCAAAGCCCGGGCTGTGCCAAGGAAACAGGGTGTGCCCTGCAGCCCAGAGCCCAGACTCCTCAGGCTGAATTGCTGATAAAAATATATCCAATATTTTCCTGATCCTGAGGTGTTTCCAGGTGGCTCTGGGTGCTCTCAGCGGGGACAGGTCAGTTTTTTGGCTCTGGGGAGGAAGGGCTGCTGAGGAAGGTCTCAGAAATACCCCGAGCTCTGCTCTGGGACAGAACTGTGCCAAAATAAGGACAGTTTGGAGCTTCAGAGCACCAGGACAACGTGGCATTCCCGGGGCAGCCGCCCTGGCCCAGCCCAGCACAGACTGTGGGTTTTGCAGAGCTTTTGAGCTCTGTTTGTGCCATTCCACTCTTGGACACTCTTAATTAAAGAGCAGGACGAGACGCAGCCTCTGCTGGGCTCCCGATGTGCTCCTGGGGCCGAGCCGCTCCCTCTGGACAAGCTGCCCTTGTATTTTTATCACCGGCGCCTCCAGGGCTCCTGCAGAGCCAGAGATACCGCGGGGGCCGCGCCCTGGAGCCCGGGCGGGTATTTTGGGGTGCGGGCACAGCCCTGGCAGGGTCACCCTGCAATTGGGGCCGCGGGGCTGCGCCAGCTCCCAAAATTAACCCGGGAATTAGCCGGGAGACCGCCCTCCCCCCGGGGCGGGGTGGGCACGGTGGCCCCGCAGTGCGGGAGGTCCCGACCCCCCCATCGCCATCCCCGGGTGTATTTTGGGGCCAATTCGTGCGTTTTCCTCAGCCAGTGCCTTCCTGAGCATCGCGGGTTGTTTGGGGGCAAAATCCCCCCCGAACGGCTCCATCCCAACACAGCCCCGTGGGTTATCACCGAGGGGCGCGGGAGGGAAAGGGGGATTTGTTGTTTTTCCCGATTTGGCAACTTCGGGGCTCGGAGGGGGCGGGCGGGCGGCGGGACCTGCGCGGCGCCTCCTCCCCCCTCCCCTCGGGAAAGGGGCGCGGCCAGGGCTGGCCCCGCCCCTCCGCGGCGCGCAGGCGGCGCCGCTATTGGCTGCGCGGGCGGTGACGTCAGCGCACTGCGGCGGCTCCGCGCGGCCCCGGTGGCGTCGCCTTAAAGGGGCCGCGCTCGCGGCGGCCGCGGCACCGGCCCCGCCACCGGCTCGGACACGGCTCGGGCTCCGGCACCGGCGGCGCTCCCGGCACGGCCCCGCCCGGTAAGGACGCGCCAGGCAGGGAGTGCCGGTACCACGGGGTGCGGAGCCGCTGGGACCCCGCGGGGAGCGGGGCGGGTGGTGCCGGTACCGGGGGTTCTGATCCGCCACGGCCGGTACCGGGGATACCGATCCCGTGGGACCCCGCGGGGACCGGGGCGGCTTCTGCCGGGACCGGGGGATGCTGGTCCTGTAGGACCCTGCGGGGACCGGGCAGGACGCTGCCGGTACCGGAGGGTCTGCGCCTGGCAGGACCCCGCTGATAGCGGCGCGGATGGTGCCGGTACCGGGGATGCCGATCCCGCAGGATCCTGCAGGTACCGGGGCGGATGGTGCCGGTGCCGGGGATGCCGATCCCGCAGGATCCTGCAGGTACCGGGGCGGATGGTGCCGGTGCCGGGGATGCCGATCCCGCAGGATCCTGCAGGTACCGGGGCGGATGGTGCCGGTACCGGGGATGCCGATCCCGCAGGATCCTGCAGGTACCGGGGCGGATGGTGCCGGTGCCGGGATGGCCCCGGGAGGTGCCAGCCGTGCCGGAACCCTCCGGGCATGAGTCAGCCCCGCCGCGGTACCGTGATGGGCTGTGCCGGTACCGGCAGCGGAGCCGTCCCGGAGCCACCGCTCCGGATCCAGCTCTGGATGCGGGACCCGCGTCGGGATCCCCCAAACCGCCCCCGCACGTTTTGGGGCCAAACCCCCGGTTTGGGGTGCGTTTTTTCGGTGGCCCCGCTGCCGCAGCGGAGCCCTCGGGCTGCGGGAATTCCGCCGGGAAAACAAACACCAGGGAAAGCTGGAACAGCCCCGTGACCTGAGGCGACCGCGGCAGGGCGCGGAGGGGCTTCCCATTCCCCATGCTGGGAATTTGGGAAGCTACGGAGCTCAAGGAGGGGCGAGGTGACCCCTCGGGGCGTGGAGGGGTCGGGGTGGGCTGGGATCCCCCCTTCGAGCTCTCCTTTCCCGGGATTTCTTCTTCATTTCCTCATTTGCCTCTCCTTGTAGATGCCCAGGGGGTGGGAGCGGCTCCGTTTTTATTCCAGGAGTGCTGGAAGCGTGTCCCGATCCCCCTGAAGTGCCCGGTGGTGCCGGAGAGGGAGGACTTTCCCCTCCTTGGGGCAGCAGGACTCTGCCCTCCTGCTTTGCCAGGACTTCTGCCCTGGAGGTGGAGTTTGCTCAAGGGCAGGGGATGGGTTTGGGTTAAAAGTGAAAAACCCAAACATGTTTCACACACCAAACCCATCCAATGGCTGGGCTAAAAATGAGCTTAAAATGAGGTTAAAAATGTTTAAAACAGGCGAGAGCTGAGTGTGCCAGGGGAAAAAACTGCCCTTCCCACCGGGAAGTTCCCCTTGTGGCCCTCGATTTCCAGGCTCCAAATTCGGGTGCTGATCCCCATCCAGGCTCACTTGGGTGCCACAGGGGCTCCTCTGTGTCCCGTGCTGATCCCAGGGCAGGACTGAGCCCGATGGTGCCGAGCTCTGGGAATGCTGAGCCGCAAGGATAAGGAGTGCAGGGAGCGGTGCCAGCTCCAACCTTTCCTCCCTCGGCCTCCTCAGGGCACAGGGATCTCAGGGGTGGCTGGAGGGGAAGAAAACACAAAGATTTTGGGGATAAACCACCCTAGGAAAGGTCAGAGTTTTCCCAGGAATATTTTGACCCCCATCCCAAGTTCAGTTTGTTTCACCCTTTATGCCTGGCGTGATCCATGAGCAAATTCCTGAGGTATTTTCTGTCCCAGCACTCAGGCTGGGCATTATTAGGGGATGTGGATGACTTTGCTTTGCTTTTCCTTGGGAGGGAGCCTCTTTTTTTGTGGACAGTGGACGGACACACTCCCTTCCCTGCTGGATTTGCTGGGATCCTGTGGGGATTTCACCTCTCGCTGCCCCACAGGGGTCCATCCCACCCCCTGGGATGTGTCCGTGGGCACCACCAGCTCCTGCCTGGATGTAATGGGGTGATTTGGGGCTGGGACACTTCCTAGACCTTTTTTCCCATCCCTCCCCTCCTGTGGGAGCAGGACCAGGGTTGGAGGAGGGAACAGCTTGGCCTCTCCTCAGCTGGGCTGGTCTAGCTCTGCACTCTTGAGCCGTTCCTACTCTGGGATCTCCCATTTCTGTATCCCAGGGGGAAAACAGTGCTTGGTGTGGATTTTGTTGGATGTGCTCAGGAACACCGGGACAGGGAGACTCAGACAGCAGCAGGCTTTGTTTTCCAGCACTTTGGAGCAGCTGGATTTATCCCAAATGCCAGGGAGAGCCGAGTGCTGCCAGGGAGGTGGGAAGAGCTGCAGGGAGCTCTGCTGAGGGGGAGAATGGGAGATCCAGGTGGATGGTGCTGCTCCCAGCATTCCCCAGCCATTCCAGGGCTCTCTCCCTGTGCACCACAAAGCCTCTGTCCTAAGGCTTAGCCCCAAATTATTTTCTCACTGCTGGCAGCTCTTTAGAACATGGGGACTAAAATTACAATTCCTCTTTCATGCTTAATCCCTTTTTCTTTTTTTCCCCTTTCTGTCTTGGTTTGGACCTGAAAACCACAGTGGCTGCTCCCACTCCCAGCCTGGCTCTGGCATTATTTGGCTTCAAACCACGCCTGTGGATAAACCTGAAGTCTTGATGGGTGTTCCTGCAAAGAAACAGCCAGTGTTTGGTTCAAGGTGCCACCAAAAAAAAAAAATAAATGTGGCTTTTGCAAGATTCCAAGCCAAGGTTTCATTTTTGGGCACCAGCACTGAGGTGCAGCCGTGGTTTATTATTTCAGCAGAGTCATGAATCGTGTTTGTGCCCAAAATAGTTGGATGCTGGGCTTCAATCCAGCCAAATCCCCCACAAATCACCTTCAGCTGCAAAACTCTTCCGTTGTCGTGCTGATGACAAATCAGTGGAATCCTCCCTGCCCCAGCTAAGCCAAGCTGCTGGTGCCCACTGAAAACAACCCAGTGGGTTATTCCTAAATTTCCAGCCGGGTCTTGGCTGATTTTTTGGAGGTTTCCCACCGCTTTGGACCACAAGAGGTCGACAGAATTCCGGGGCTGGGAGCCGGGCTGTGCCTTGGCACATCCCGCCGTTCCAGGGTAATTGCTCCGTCAAAAGGAACACCCCAAACTAATTACACTGGAAGAAAATCAGGGTAATTTGGGAGCAGGGCCTGCGCTGCCGGGGGTTTCTCGCTGCTCCACTGGCTGCCTTCACGTGCGCCCGGCGGGGATTATGAGGGATCAGAGCATTAAACAGGCTCTGGCTGCTCTGGAGACTCCCTTAATTCCTCCCTGGTACAGAAGGTCCCGAGCTGGGGAGTTCGCAGCGGGACACGAGCCCGGCCGGGGGGGCTGAAGCTGGGAGAGCCCCCAGTGCTAACCAGGCTCTGGTTTTTGTGTTTGCAGCCCCTCGGCCCCCCGGGATGGTCCCACCATGAGAAGGTGCTGCCAGGGCGTGGGGCTGCCATGCCTGTTTAAGGTCAGTCACTGTCACCTGCTTGGTCCCTCCTTTTCTCAGGGAGAGCAGGAATCGGGTCCCCATCCTGCAAACCCCACCCTGGAGCGGCTGGAGGAGAGCCAAGGGGAGAGGGGGATTGGGGAGGCCGGGCTGGGGCACCAGCTCTGCCCGTGTGGGCAGAGGGGGGTAATTTTGGGTTTAGAGCAGGGCAGGAGGCAGCTCTGAGTTCATGGAATATCCTGAGCTGGGAGGGACACACCAGGATCATCCAGTCCAGCCCCTGGCCCTGCACAGACACCCCAACAGTCCCACCCTGTCCCTGAGCTCTGGCAGCCTCAGGGCCGTGCCCACTGCCCTGGGGAGCCTGGCCAGTGCCAACCACCCTCTAGGGGAAGAATCTTTCCCAAAATCCAGCCTAAACCTGCCCTGGCACAGCTCCAGCCACTCCCTGGCTCCTGTCACTGATCTTCTCCCCGGGATGGCTGCAGAGCCCAACCCCAGGGGAATCAACGATGGGTGATGGATCAAAAACCAACCTGCAGAATGCTGGGAAGAGCCAGACTCCTCCTGGCAGCCTGCAGGGACACAAATCCCTGTCCCAGGGGTGGGACAGGAGAAGGCTGGGGAGTAATCCCCCAGGCCAGGGCCCTCCCTGCACAAGGCTAAGGTGTGCTGGGTCAATGGCTGGACTTGACCATCTCAGAGACCTTTTCCAACCCTAATAATTCCCTGATCCAGTGAAACAGCCCGAGGCGTCCTGGGTTAATGGTCAGTGATCTCAGAGACTTTTTCCAGCCCTATTAGTTCCCTGATCTAATGAGACACCCCAGGGGCGCCGTCCCCACATCCCGTGTGTGCGACACAGTGACCTCCTTGACTGCAGGAACAAGGGGATTAGCGGTGACAGAACGATCCCTTTAGGGGCAGGATAAACCCCTTAGGGCTGTCAGCGGGGCTGTCAGCGGGGATGTCAGCGGGATTAACCCCCGGGGCAGCCCAGGGGCACTGCCCGCCCGCCGACGCTCTGGGTGTTGTGCTCCTTGCAGGGCGTGGGCATGGCCACCCCCCGGCCCCCCCGGTACCTGCTGGTGTTCGACTTCGACGAGACCATCGTGGCCGAGAACAGCGATGATTCGGTGGTGCGGGCGGCGCCGGGGCAGGCGCTGCCGGAGCCGCTGCGGCAGAGCCAGCGCCAGGGCTCCTACAACGAGTACATGCAGCGCGTCCTGGCCTTCCTGGGCGAGCAGGGCGTGCGCGCCGCTGACTTCAGGGCCGTCTACGAGAACATCCCGCTGAGCCCGGGCATGCCCGAGCTCTTCCAGTTCCTCTCCAAGAACCGCGAGCTCTTTGAGGTCATCCTCATCTCCGACGCCAATGTGTTCGGCATCGAGGCCAAGCTGAGGGCGGCCGGCGTCCACTCGCTCTTCCGCAAGATCTTCAGCAACCCGTCCAGCTTCGACAAGAGGGGCTACCTCACCCTGGGGCCCTACCACAGCCACAAGTGCCTTGACTGCCCGGCCAACATGTGCAAGAGGAAAATCCTGACGGAATACCTGGCGGAGAGGGCGCAGGAGGAGGTGGAGTTCGAGCGGGTCTTCTACGTGGGAGACGGTGCCAACGATTTCTGCCCTTCCGTGGCCTTGACTTCGGCCGACGTGGCTTTCCCACGGAAGGGCTTCCCCATGCACAGGATGACCCAGGAGATGGAGAAGAAGCAGCCCGGGGCCTTCCAGGCCACTGTTGTCCCCTGGGAATCGGCTGTGGAGGTCGCCCGGTACCTCCAGGAGCTCCTCAAGAGGAAATGTTGAGGGAGGCTCCAGAGGGTCCTGCAAGTGGCCGGGAAAAAGAGAAGCCTGGGGTGGTCACATCCTGTGCCCCTGCTTGTCCCCGCTCCCGGGGTGTTTTCCTGCCTTCCCGAGCTCCTTCCTCCCCGGTGAATAAAGCACTTTCTCCAGGTCCCTGTCCCTGCCCTGCCATGGTGAGATGGAGCCGTCCCTGCAGCTCGGACTCCTGGGGCCCCCTGGGGCCCTTTGCCAACGTTATTGGGGATTGGTTGGGGTTGTGTTGCTTTTCTTCTTTTCCCTTTTGGCTTCACGAGGGAATTCCTAAGAATCCAGAAGCCAGTTCCCTGCGGGCTGGGAACATCCTTCCTCCTGCCATCCTCCCAGCCACACGAGGAGCTGCCTGCTCATGCTCAAGGGCTCCTTCCCTCTTTGTGAGCCCACTGGGAATTTAATCCAGGAAATTCATGCTCCCTGGCTCCTCCACATCCCACTCAGGCAGGGCAGCTCCAGGCCCAGCTGCTGAGGCTTGTGATGGGGTTAATTGTCCCTTGGGACTTTATTCTCTGAGAAGAACACGTCATGAGGATCAGGAAAGCTTTTGGAAAGGTGGCAGCTTGGAATAAACCTCCCCAGCCCATCGCCTCTCCTTCCCCAGGGGAGGAGGACCTGTCCTTGCCTTCCACTTCCATCCTCTGCTCCTGCTCCCAGGAGGAAGTGTCCCTGTGTCCCTGACAGGTTCCTCCTTGCCCTGAGCCATTTCCAGTCGTGTCCTTGTGCTTGCTGGATCGTGTGACCCCCCCCTTTCACCCCAGGGAGGGGAAAATTCCCCTCCTGACCTGGTGGAGAGGTGCCAGACCTCCCCAGGGGAGGTTTCGTGGTGCTGTGGCACTTCTGGCACCGGGTCCCCAGAGGCCAAACCCTCCCCCCTCCCTGTGTCCCCCCCACCCCACTGCAGTATTAATTACCCCTTCTAATTGCACTCTGCAGGGGGGACCTCCAGGATCCGCTGCTCTCCGGTGTTGGCTTCCCCTGGATTTATCCACAGCCTTACAGGCCCCCGAGGGTGGCTCGTGACTCCTCCAAACCCTGGGACCCCTGACAGCAAACCCCAGCAGTAAGGAAATAACCAAAGCAGCCCTGAGTTGTTCCTCCTCTTATTTCATCCCCTCCTCTCTGTTCTTCCTCCTCCAGACCCCGTTCGACTGTGTGGAACTGAAAGCCATGGAATTAAAGATACCTATATATGTATATAGATGGATATCTCTATATTGCAGAGACACGAACTTGGTTGTATCCAGGACATAAACCTGGGCGTGAAACAGCTCTGAGTTGCACCAAAATGTTGTTTCTCTTCCTTGGGCTGGTGGAAGTTGGGGAATGGGAATACAAGCAGGGAATCCCCCTGGACTGGGGTCTGGATCAGGGTCTGGGTCGTCCCTGCTGCGGCTCAAGCCCAGGGGACAGCAGGCAGGTTTCCAGCTCTCCTCATCCTTGGGGATGTTCAGCCCAGTCTCCCGTTCCCGGGATTTCATCCTGTGCTGTTCCAGGGGCCGGGAGCACGCCCAGGATCAGCCCTGGGACGTGCTGTGTTCCCACGTCAGAGAGCTCAGTGTGCTGGTGCTCAGCGTTCCCGGGGAGGGGTGGGAGAGGGGGCTGCAGTCCTGCCAGGCCGCAGCGGTGCCAGCAGTGCCACCCGCTCTGCTCCCGTGCCAGTTCCAGCGCTGCAGAGCCAGAATTCCAGGCCTGAACAGAGCGGGATGAGGCCGATCCGGGGAGGGGGCGGCCTGGCCTGGGGGCTCAGCAGGGCTCCACGTAATTCCCAGGGAAGAATCCCGCCTCCTGCCCCAGGACGCCCTCGCACCAGCCGTCCGAGTAGCGCCGTGTGACGAAGAGGAGGGCGCCGGGCTGGAAGGAGAGCTCGTTGTCCTTCTGCCGCGTGTAGGGGTACAGGGCCACCACTGCGGGGGGAGAGAGGGATGTGGGGCCTGGCAGTGCCACCAGGGGGGACGGGGCATGGCTGGGAAGGGCGGGATGGGGGACAAGAGCAGCATTGCAGCGTGGGGCACAGCTGGGCCCTCAGTGCTGCGCCCCAGGGCTCAGCCAAAATCCATCCAGGGGATGTGGGGATCCACCGCACCTTTCTCCAGGTAGTTCTCTGGCACCCAGGAAGGCTCCTCTGAGGCGGGGGGTGGCGGTGGCAGGGCCAAGTCCTCGAAGTCGGGCAGAGCCGATGGTGGTGGCAGTGGCTCCAGCTCAGCAGGGGCTGCAAAACCCCCCAGACAGGCGAGGGATGAAGGGCTCAGTGGGGCAGGGGTCACACGCAGCCCCCCGTGTCCCCCCTAAGCCCCCTGGAGCACTGAGCACTCACCTGGGGGCAGCAGGTCCAGTGGGGGCACGGCCAAGTCCTCTGGCGGGGGCGGTGGGAGCAGAGCCCCGGGGAGAGGGGGCGGCGGGGGATGGCAGTGGCAGGGGGTGCGGGTGGCCCTGGTGGGGGTGGCCCTGGCAGAGATGGCCCTGGAGCGGGGGGTCCCGGCAGGGAGGGCAGCGGCGGCGGTGCCGGGATTCCTTCACCAGGAGCTGCCAGGGCTCCGCTGGAGCTGGGGATGGAAGAACAGCCATGCCAGGGTTGGGGGCTGGCCCTGCCCCCCACTCTGAGCACAGACACTTCGCCCAACGCCAGGGCAAGGCGCCCCTGGCAGTGGGCACCATATCCTGCATCTGTGTGCAAACCCTCTCCACACCCACCCTGTGCCTCATCTTCCCCAGCAGGGACCCTCTCCAGGACAGGACATTTCCGCTCTAGGGACAAAGCCCTGCCAGGGGGACCAAATCTCCCAAAGGCCCTGCTCTTTCACTTGGCAGCAGAACCTCCCCCAGCAGCAGCAGCAGCAGCGTGGCAGGGGCTTGTCCTGGGCCTGTCCCGAGCTCCCAGACATTGCAGAGCGTCAGTACCTGATGGATGCCAGCGAGGAGGTGGAGGAGGCTGCGGAGAGCTTGCCCTCGGGCACCACGGGCGGCTGGATGGGCTCGGGGACGCGGGTGCTTCTCCTGCGGGCACAGCATCCAGCTGGCAGCTCGGCACGGGGGCCCACACCACTCGGGTGACACGGGAAGGCCGTGCCCACCCCCCAGTCCCACACCCATCCTCACCCCAGGGTGCCCACGGCCTGCGCCGACGACTTGGTGCCCTTCCGAGCCAGGGTGCCGGTGCGGGACAGCTGCGTGCTGTGGTCCTGTGGGCATGGGGCACATGGATACGTGACAGGTGACATCAGCCCCCCCAGGTCCCTGCTGGCCCCCCTCGGTCCCTGCTGAACCCCCAGCCCCTGCTGGCCCCCCGTGGGAGCGGCCCCGCGGAAGGAGCCGGCGCTGCGGGGGCGGCCACGCGGCACCAGCCACCGTGGGAACCGCGGGCCCGGCCTCACCACTTCCCTTGTGTCTGAGGGGCCTCTGAACACCCTCCCCTGGGTGCCTTCCGGGGCCGGGAAAGGCTCCACAGGGGTTGGAGGGCTCCAAACCCACTCCCGTGGGTGCCTCCTGGGGCTGGGAAAGGGGCTGTGGGGGAAAAACCTCCTCTCTGGATGCTGGATGAGCCCACCCGTGCCCCCGTCAGCACGGCACTGGGGACGTCAGGGCCCCCACCCGAGCCCCCTCAGCCCCGTGGGACCCCCTCCTGTCCCGGGCTCACCTTTATGCCGTGGCCAATGTCATCCAGGACGCTGAAGTTGAGGGGTTTCCTGTAGTAGGGCTCCAGGCTGGGGGGGTTGGGGGGAGCCACGATCTTTTGGTAGGGCGGGAACCTCTTGGTGACGGTCAAGGAACCGATCTCCCGGCGGGACACCTTCTCCTTGTGGATGTCCACCCTCTGCGGAGGTGACGCTGTGCCCACTGTCCCAGCCCGGCCTCTCCCCACCTCCTGCAACCCCCTCTGAGTCCCACCACCCTCCCCAGCCCCGTGGCCCTGCCTGGAAGGGAAGGGATGCACTGGAGGATCGGGATTGGGCCTGAGCCCTGCAGGGACAGCGGGTCTTCAACCCCTCGGAGCTTCCCGGACCCCCTTTCCCGGAGCCCACCCCAAACCCCTCGCGGGGGACGGTCCCACCTGTGCCACGCAGGCGACATCGGCCTCCACCTGGCGCAGCTGGGCCGCCTGCAGGTCCAGCAGCCTCAGGAAGGCGGTGGCCAGGCTGCTGACCTGGTAGGTGACACTGGCCAGGGACTGGGTGCTCAGGGCCATCGTCTCCTCCAGCGCCTTCCGCTTGTCGCTGGCCTGGAGGGGAAAACCCAGCCTGGAGCCCACCCCCACGGCACTGCCACCCTCCACGCTGCAGTCACACGGCAGCACAGATGCCTCTTCTGCTTTCCAAATGCATCAAACTTCCTCCGGCTCCACTGGCCAGACACAGGGACACCCGGCAGGGGGGTGGATCCTGGTACCGGGGATCCCCTGGGAATCCTCCCCAGGATGCTGATGCTTTTGGCAGGTGCTGGAGCAGAGTGCCCGGCTCAGCTCCTGCCACCCCTGGGGACAGCTGGCCATGCCACCACATCCCACACGTGGGACACCTGGCCGGGCCACCAGCTGTGTGGGGGACAGTGTCTCAGTTCTCTAAACAGCTCCTCACATTTCCCCTTCAGTTCTGCTCTGGCGGCTCCAGCCCCCTGGGAGCAGTACCGGGGTCTGGCTCGAGTCAGCAGGGCCACAGACAGGTTTGGCAAAGATCCCTCCAGCAGACACCCCTCCCTCCCACAGCAAATAGGGCCAGAAAAAGCCTTTTTATCCCTGTTTCATCCCAAAAGCTCCTGTCCCCCTTCCCTCAGTGGGGGCCGGGCAGGGAGGAGGAGGATGGCAGCAGAGCTTCAGCTTCACTCTCTCTGCACGTGCAGGCACCCAGCTCTGCCCTCCAGGAGACAGCTCAGAAACCCTGGGACAGCCCAGGACAGCCTGGTGTCCCTGGTCCTCTCCCAGAGGCACCAAACCCTGGGGAACTCTCCCTTCATCCCAAACCCACCACGAGGGCAGCTGTGGAGCAAGAGGGGAAACTGAGGCAGGAGGAAAACGAGCCAGAGGCAGGAGATGCTCGGGTGGAAGCCTGAACTGGTGAGCGGAGGCTCCCAGCTCTGAGGGCAAAGCGCTCATCACCAGCCACCCCTCCAGGAGCACCATCCCACCATCCCAGGGCTCCCGGTGGTCCCAGCATCCCAAGCCCGTCGCGGTGCCCCCACCTGCAGGTAGTTGCTCTCGCAGTACTCGGCGACCCTGTGGAGGTTGTCGTGCTGCTCCCGCAGGCCCTGGCGGCCCGCGGGGATGTCTCGCTGCCGCAGCTGCTCCAGCTCCGACATCGTGCCGGGCTCTGCTCGCACTTCCTCCGCGGCCGCCCCGCCGCTGCCTTTGCAGGCTCCTGGCGGTGCTGACGCAGGGCCCGCGGGCGCCGCGGTGTCCCCGTCCCCTCGAGGGACACCCCGCGGCCCCGGCAAGGAAAAGTGGGAGGCCGGCGGGGAAGGAAGCCGGCGTGGCTCCGGCCCCACGAGGGACGCGTTTGGGGGGCTGCCCTGCCCGGGGCAGGGGATGGGAGCGGTGAAGGATGTGAGTCACGGGGGAAACGGCGGGGCAGGGGGTGGGGGGAAGTGACCCAAAATGATCCCAAACCCCGTCTTTGCCACCTGTGCCCACCATCCACCAGCCATGCTGTCCTCCTAGCTGGGGCTGAGCGGGCACGGGCACAGCCAGGGATCCGAGGAACATTAGGAACATTTCCTTCCCTTTGCCTTTACCAGCCAGGCGAGGGGTCCAGCCAAGGGCAGCGATTCCACTGCCAGGTCCCCCTCCCTGGAAAAGCCCCTGTGCATCCCACGCAGGTCACCAGGCCTGGCTGCACTCGGGGCACAGCAGGACGTGCCAAGTGACCCCACGAGGCGCCCGGCCCGTCCTTCCCCTGCCCGGGACAGCGTGTCCTTCTCAGTGCTTTGCTGAGGACGTTTCACATCCCCACAGGGTGAGGTTGCAGGAAATTCCCACTTCCCCGGTGCTTGGAAATCCCTCCACACCCTCTCCTCCACCCTGCAGGTCCTTCCCTGGGGCCTGCCAAGCTCCTCCACCCGCAGGTGCTTCCTTGGGGCCTGCTGGACTCTGTCCTCAGCCCCAGTGACTTTGCACCCCCAGACAGGAGAGACACCCCTCGTTAGGGCTTGGCCCTTCCTGAGCCCGCAGCTCCTGCTGCACAAGGACGAGGGAAATGATGGATTTCCTCCGGCACCGGCCCAGCTCCTCACACCCTGAAGGACCAAGAGCCGCCCGGGCTGCCCCTGGCCCCGACGAGGCTGTGGCAGCCCCGTCGCCCCAGTTCCCCTCCTAAACTGGGTGGGTGGAAGCTGCCCTGATCCCCACAGGGTCATTCCTGCCACCCCAAATCAGGATCTGGACACTGTACAGGCTCAGACACCCATGGTAGGGCCTCAAGGACTTCCCAGGTGTCCCAGTCACCCACCCATCCTTCCTGCCCATCCTCACCCTCCCCACAGCCCCGCTGATTACCCTGGACTTTGAGGCTAATTCCCAACACCTGACCAGCTTATTCTCCTGAGTCCATTATCAGCTTAAGGGCCAAAGACATCTGCTTCCCACTGCCCTCCCAGAGAGCTGGAGGAGTCTTCCAGCTCCGAGCAGGAGAGCAGCATCTCCCCTCGGATGGGGCTCTGAGCATCTCCACCGCACAGCGGGGCAGCCCCTCTGCCCCCCCAGGTAAGTGCCTTTGCTCCTCCAGGTGGGTCCCACCTGCTTTGGGAGCCACTTTCCCTGTGGGCTGGGCCACTTCTGGCTCCTGGTGCAGCTCCCAGGGCTGGCTGTGTCCCGAGGGATGGATGGGAAGAGGAACACGGGGCACACTTGCCGTGGGAGCAGCAACACAGCAACACAGGGCTCGACACCTTCCAAGCAAGGCCAGGGCACAGTTCAGCTTCAGCACCTCTGGTTTGGTTGGAAAGATTCTGCCCAGGCTTTAGACCCCAAGTTCTGACACGGAAATAAGATCTCACAGTGCAGGTCAGCTCTGTGGGCATCTCACATAACCCCTGGATGGGCTTTTGTGGGAAAAGAGTTGGGCTTTTCCAACCCACACACTCCCAGAAACTTGCAGTGGCAGCAAGTGCATAAAAATAGCCAAGTTCAGAGCAATGGAGGAGCCATAATCTGGGGGAAAGGCACAAGGAGGAAACAAAAAACGAAGTATCTTTAGTTCCTTAGGAAACCTCCAAAGAGGTTGTTGCCCAGGCACAGGACACCCCACCAGGGAGGTGTAGTTTGCAGACCTGGGCATCCAGCTTCTCCCACAGCCCTGAGGCATCAGCTCCTCTCTGGGATCATCCAGGCTCACTCTCCCCTCCACCTGCTTTCTTGGGAAAACAGTCTCTGTGGTGGCAAAGAACTCCTTAAAAACCAGGCTGGATCCTCCTCCCCTGCCCTCAAGCTGCATCTGTCACTCCATGTGCCTGCTGAGAAGGAGCAAAGGAAAATCTGGGAATGGCAGATGGGACAGGAAGGGGGTGGAGAGGTGGCTCCTGCCTCGGTTTCCTTTTGCAATGGGACATTGGGGGGGCTTGCAATATTATGGGGACAAAGCAATAATCCCAATAACGAGCCATTTCCCTGCAGTTCCAGGGCAAAATGGCTCAGGACATGACCGAGAAGGAGCTGCTGAAGATGGAGCTGGATCAGCTGAAGAAGGAGGTGAAGAACGAGAGGCAAATGGTGAGGGTCCCACCCAAAATGCTCTGACCTGGTGGTGACTTCCTTTCCTGCTGCAAAGGAACAGGACCACAAGCCCTAAAATTACCCCCCAAATGCAGCAGAAGCAGCTGCACTCCACCTCTCCCCTCCAGGAAAGCATTCCCCTCTTAGCCCCACATCCCAGATCCTACCCCACACCTGGTGAAGTGTCCACAACACCCCGGGAATGCTCTTGGGACACTCCCATGTTGTGTGGGATGTCCACGGCCACGGTTCCCTTCTCCCACTGCCCCATGTGAGGTGTCTGTAACACCCTGGGGATTCTTTTGGGGACACCCCATGGCGGGTGGGACATTCCTGGCCACAGTTCCCTTTTCCCACTGCACGGACGGGTCCACGGGCGGCCCTGCAGGGAGGATCCCACCCCAAACACGGAATGTCTCCTTCCTTGGCAGGTCTCCAAGACCGGCAAAGAGCTCAAGGACTACATCGAGTCCATGGCGGGCGAGGACCCGCTGCTGAAAGGAGTCCCCGAGGACAAGAACCCCTTCAAGGAGAAGGGGGGCTGTATAATAAGCTGACACCCCCCGGCCCCGCTGGCACCGCCGGGCACGGGGATGTCCCCGTGTGCCACCCAGGACTGTCAGAAACCTGCTTTCCCTGTAGTCCGCCCTCGGCACCGAGGAGGAGCCCAGAACCACAGCGTAGTGCAGCTAAAGGACAGCAAAAGGAGAAAAAAGAAGATAAAACCCTGAAAAAAATACCCAAAAACCTCCCCCCTCCCCCCGACTGCCACCGGGGCTGAGGTTCGGCCGCCGCAGCGTCGCCGTCTGCGCTGTCCCAGCTGAGCTCTGCTTTCCCACGAGCACAACTTCTGCATTTGCAGCAGCCCCAGCGAAGTGGGGGTGATGAAACCACAGAGCTGATGGTGCAGGGGTTACCTGCTGCCTCTTTGGAAGGGTGGAAGCTGCTGCTGGGGCTCCAGGAGAGCGTGGAGATGGACCTAGGACTGGTTTACTTGCAAGGAAATACCCCTGGATCCCACCTGGAGCAGCCTTTTCCTGCCTTCTGGGTCTCAGAATGAGGCACAGGGGGTCCCTCAGCACTTCAGCCACCCCAAAAGGGGGGTCCCTGCAGAGAACAGACACAGGGAAGTGCATTTTCCTCAGGCAGCCAGAATACCCCCCAACCCTGCACCTCCCCAGCCAAAATCCCACCAAAATAAAGGTGGGTTTATTCTCTCTCCTGCAGATGCTCAATAAACCCTCCAGCTCGAGCACGGCCTCTGTCTTTTCTTGCAGCACTGAGGGGCAGGAAATGCTCTTTACAAAAAGAATTTATGGGCTTTCTTTTCACTTTTATGTGGAACCCAAATGTTGGGTTGTGACCAACATGTTATTTTTTTAATGCTCCATCTTCCATGGCTTTTTTTTTTTCCTTTAGAACTTGGATATTTCCTTCTTCCCTCAGCATTCCACCTCCATCCTCCTCACTTCCCTCATGCAGGGGGCTGGAATCCCAAGTTTTGATGGATTTGATGGTTCTCTTGGAGTTTCTTTGATGCAGCAGAATCCTGTTTTTTTATGGTTTTACTGAGTTTTTGGGGGGCTGGCAGAATCTTGTTTTCTGACGTTTTGAGGTTTTTTGGGATGCAGAATCCTGCTTTTAGATGGAGTTGATGGTTTTATTGGATTTATTGGGGGTGTGACAGAATCCTGGATTTTGATGGGTTTGTTGGGGTTTTTCTGGGGTGGGGGCAGAATTCTTTTTTTGATGGGTTTGTTGCAGTTTTTTGGGGGGGTGACAGAATTCTAGATTTTGATGGATTTGTTGTTTTTTTTTTTTGGGGGGGTGTAGCAGAATTCTGGTTTTTGATGGATTTGTTGGGGTTTTTTTGGGGGGTGGCAGAACCTGGTTTTTGATGGAGTTAATGTTTCTGTTGGGTTTTTTGGGGGGTGGCAGGACAGCAGCAACACAAAGGGGGTAATGAAAGTGAATTTGGGGCACTGCATCATTAATTTGTGGAGCACCTCTGGGTGCTGCTTCTCCCATCCGCAGCTCCAAGACAATTTCAGGCTATTTAGGTAAGAAAATGGCACTTTCCTGTCACGGCCCTGAGGTGGCCGGATCCACCGGGGCTTGAGCTGCCCCTAATCTGGGGCGATAATGGGGCCGCGGCCGGAGGGGATTGACCCGTTAATCGACGCTAAACGGCTGGAAACCTGCGTCAGAGCCGGCTAAGCCGCTGCTGAAGGGATTCGGGACGCTACTGGAGCAGCAGCGGCTTAAAGGACGAGCAGGAGGGGCCTCTCAGAGCCCACGAGCGATCGCGACGCGCCGTGACGGCTCAGACCGGCCATGAGGGCTCGGGGGTGCTGAGGGGGAGGCGGGGCGAAGGGCGCTACCGACCAATAGGAACTCGGGATTGTCAGAGTGACAGCCCGAGTAGCCAATCAGCGATGGGAAAGGATGAGTGCGAGCCCCGCCGTGACAGCTCCAAACATCATGAGAGCTACGGGCAAGTGAAGTGGGAGGCGGGGCGAGGCGCACTGCTAGCCAATAGTAACACGGGATTGCGAGAGTGATAGCTCTTTCCGCCAATCAGAGATGGAGAAGGAAGAGTGCGACCCCCTTGTGAGGGCTCGAACCTGCCATGAACGCTAAAGGCTGCTGAGGGGGGAGGCCGGGCGAAGGGCGATTCTAAGCAATAAAAATGCGGAATTGCGAGAGTGACAGTTCACTCAGCTAATCAGAGATAGGAAACGGAGGGCGCCAAATCCCCAGAAGGCTCGGTGCTGCAGGGGTGGGAGGCGGGGCGAAGCGCTCACCCAACCAATAGAAACACGTAGTTCGCAAGAATGACAGCAAGGCAGCCAATCAGAGACGAGAAAAGGCAAAGCTTCCCGCCGCGCCCCTGGCCGCGCCTGCGCGGTGAAGCGCAGGGTGCCCACGCACAAAATGGAGCGCGGTGAGACCGGAGCGGGATCGGCGCTCCCGGTGCCGCCCCCGCCGCCCCTCAGGGACCGCCCGTTCGCGGCCACTCCCGCCGCGACAGCGGGAGGAGAGGAAAGAGAAAGGGAGGCCCCCCCAGAAAATTAAAACAGAAATTAAAACAGAAAAAAAGAACGCGAGGTCCCACCGAGATTTGAACTCGGATCGCTGGATTCAAAGTCCAGAGTGCTAACCATTACACCATGGGACCGCTGGGTGTACCGGGAGGCTCCGCGCGCCCTCTCCACCCTCACGGCCCGCCCGGGCCCCCAAACCCCGCCAAACCTCCCCAAACCGCCCCAAACAACTCCCAAATCCCCCCCAAACCGCCCCAAAACCCCCCCAAACCTCCCTAAACCCCACGGCCCCGGCCCCAGGACGGGCCGGAGCATCCCCGGCATGTCCCCGAGCTGCCTCCCGCACTCCTCGTCCACAGCACTCAGAGCCCCTTTCCACCTTTATTTCTATTCCCCTAACCTTTATTTCTACCCCCAATTTCCTGCTTTATTCCTCTCTTTTTTTTATTTCCCCTCCTTGTGTCTGTATTTTCATCTATTTCCCACTTTATTTGCCACTCTACTTTTCCATATATTTATCCATTTTCACTCTGTTTCCCCCTTATTTCTTTTCCCCCTCTATTTCTCCTCTATTTTCCCCTTTCTCTATCTACCCCTTTATTTCTCCTTTTCCTGTTTTCCTCTTATTTGCTACTTTTATTTTCCATTCTTTTCCATTTCCTTATCCATTTTTCTCTATTCACCCCTTTCTCTTTCCCCCTTCTATTTCTCAATTTCCCCTTTCCCTATTTCCCCCTTTATTTCACCTTTTCCCTCTATTTCCTTTCTCTATTTTTTCCTGCTTATTTCCTCTATTTTTCATCTCTTTCCTCTTTATTTCTTTTTTCCTCTATTCCCCCCTTTTTCTCCTCTAGTTCCTCTCTATTTCTCCATTTGTCCTTTATTTCTCCCTTTTCCTGCTTAAACCCTTTCTTTTTCCCCTCTACTCCCCAGCTTTCTCTTCTATTTCTCCAATTTTTCCTCTCCCATTTGTTTTTTTCTTCCCCCCATTCCTTTTTCTCTCCATTTTCCCCCCCTTAATCTAATTTTCCTCTATTTTCCTTCTGTATTTCTTTCCCCCTCTATTCCCTCCTATTCCCCTTTTTTATCAACTTTTCCTGCATTATTTCTTTCCCCCTTTACTTTTTTTCCTGTTTCCCCCTTTATGTCCATTTCTCTTTTCTCCATTTCTCTTTGCACCATTTCCCTTTATTTAATCCTTTTTGTTTCCCCCTCTCCTTCCCCTCTATTTACCTTTCTCTTCCCCTACTTCCCTATTTTTCCTGTTCCCTTTCTTTCTTTCCCCTCTTATTTCCCTCTATTTTCCCTTTATTTCCTTAATTCCCCAACAATGCACCCCTTTATTTCTCGCTCTATCATTTTTTTCTCTGTTCCCCTTTCCCTTTGTTTATTTTCCCTCTATTACCCTTTCCCTCTTTATTTCTCTTCTCCCCTCAATTTTTCCCCAGTTCCCCCCTTTAATTTCTCTTTTTTTCCTCCCCCCAACCCCATAAAACCACACAAACACTTCAAGTTTTTTTTCTTGTTTCTCTGTCTGTTTTTTCTCTTTATTTTTAAAAACAGTGGAAATAAAGCGGTTTGTGGCAAAAAAAAAAAAAAAAAAAAAGAAAAAGAAAAGAAAAAAGAAAAAAAAGAAAACCATCCTCATTGGAAAAGAAACGGAGCCCAAATCTATCCACAATCCCAACTCCACATCCCTCCTGCCAGGGGAACAGGGAAAGAACATGGAATAGAAGAGGCAAGAGGTGAGAGGGAAAAGGCAAAAATCAGCAGAAAAGAGGAAAAACAATATCACAGAAAGTACAATTTTATTTTTTTTAACCTAAACAGCCTGAAATTGTCTTGGAGAAGCAGCACCCTTGGGTGCACCCACGTGGCACTGGGTGTCCCCAAACTGATGATGCAGCGCCCCAAATTCAGCTCCATCACCACCCCACCCTCCCATCACTCCCAAAAAAGCCCCTCTCCCTCTCCCCCCCCAAAAAAAAAACCCCAAACCACTGGAAAAATAAAACCCCAACAAAATTACCAACTGCAATTCCCCCCCGAGCCCAACACAGGGAGGTGGGGAAAGCGAGGAGGATGGAGGTGGATTGGAGAGGGAAGAAGGAAATCTCCAAGTTCTAAAGGACAACAACAACCAAAAAAAAAAAAAATCATGGAAGATCGAGTATTTAAAAAATAAAAAAAAAAAGATCATAAAATCAGTCACAACCCAAAAATTTGGGACTGGTGAGGTCTGGAGCTTTACCAACTAACGGCCACTTTAAAGTGAAAAGAAAGCCCATAAATTCTATTCTTAAAGAACATTTTTCTTTGGAAAAAGAGAGTAATTTTTCTTTTTTTTATTTTTTTTTTTTTTAAATTTTAATTTTCCCCTAAACTACCGCCTGTGGAGTTGCCACTACCTAGAGTTCATCTATTGGCTAAGAGGTAGATAAACAAAACTGACTTGGTTATATAGAAGGTCGTGCCTGGGCCAGGCACCAGCCATTCCAGGCTCTCGGAATATCCGGGATTCATGGCGGGTTTCCCTCCTCTGGAGCCACCCCAAATGTTTGCCTGGTTTTAACTCATCCACCAAAGGGAGGGGTCGTGGTTTAAGGCCAGATTTCCTCCTCAGCTCAAGGAATTCCATCCCGAGGTGAATCCGGACGCGCTTCCAACGAACGACACAACGAGCTCAGCCACTTCGGGATACTTCAGGGATTCCTTCCTGCCCTGATTCCAGTGAATCCCAACGATTCCCCGGGTGATGCACTGAGTGAGGGAGGGCTGGGGCCGTGCTCCAGGTCAGCCTTTCCCTGCCCCAAAACATCGGGAAGCTCCTTCCCGCTGGACGTGGCGTCGATTGGCAGAGCCCGTTTCCCGGACTGATCCCAAAAAATGCCTTCAGTTGTCGCACATCCCAACTCCCAGGGCTTAAATTAATTCTCTAATTAATTCATTCAGCAATTAATCCTGCTTTTAGGGAAAACATCCCTTTGGGAGTCAGCTCGTGCTGCTCCACAGCACCCAAATCCTGCCCACGCTTCGTAACCTGTGCTCGGATGTGCCGGAGGGGACGGGATGTGCCGTGGGCCAGCAGAGCATCCCAGGGCCGTGGTTTGGCAGAACATCCCACCACCACCACCCGGCGGAGAATCCCACTGCCACGGCCTGAGGAACTCCAGCTTCCAAC